CTGTTTTACACTCGCTCCTTCAGCCCTGTGGGTCACGAAGCTGAGTCAGAAATGGTAAAAGCAACGCCCGGCATTAGCATTTCATCCTGTGGATGTGTCTCTGTATCCCCAAACTTTTCTTTTGATGTGTTGCATCATCCAAGTAAGTGTCACTCACTCTTACAAAATGGATAGATGGAGAATTCAGGTGGCAGTTGTGTTTAACTGTACATAGCTGCGTGGGAGATAAAGCTGTCATTAGTCTTCATCAGTTTTAATATTGGTTCAAGTATTCTAATGTTTAGCTATGTTGCCTTTGACTCTTGCCAAGAGTGGTATAGAAAGCACTCACTAATTAAACAAAACAAGGTAATGGAGTATAATTGCTTACAGTGAAGAACTAACTCAGAAGTGAGTACACTTGCTGTAGGTCAGACAGCTCTTCGATATCACTCATGAGAAGCTTATTACCTTTACTTGTTCTCATCAGCTCAGCTAATAATGAGATACACAAAAGCAATTTCTGAGCCAAAGTTGCAGGCTGCTCCCTGTTGGGTTAACTAGGCTCATATCCAGACCTGATTAACAGGTCTCCAGCAAAAACATCTGCTGGAGTAGGAGTTAAATTGATAATGACTTCCCCAGATATGTGTGTATGTGACAACTGGTATGGTTCAAAGGATTTGGGGGACTTTGTGGGAGGAGGCCTCATCCTCATGCTATCATGTCCATTTCTTCTGCCATCCTGAAGCAGCTTTCCCTTATAATGGGAACATTCATATCCCTTACACTGTAAAGCAAGGCTGAGGTAGTGCAATATATAGAGTTTTGAACTGATATCTACCCTCTTTTTCCAACAAAATGACCTAATTACGCTGTTTGAAATGGAAATTATAATTTTGGTGTTGATCAGAAGCTGGTTATGGGTTTGTTTTGTTAAAACAACGTGTCTGCTTGCTTGTTGCCAGGTGCTGGATGAGCAGAACTGAACAATGTCTGTGCCACGGGGAGCTGTCCACGCAAAATGGATAGTGGGGAAAGTAATAGGAACCAAAATGCAGAAAACTGCCAAAGTGAGAGTAACCAGGCTGGTGCTAGACCCTTACTTACTAAAGGTAAGACTCATCTTGCATGGTAATTTTTGCATTGGCTGGGAGGATGTTTTATTGATTTGACTTGTAGAGTTTTTCATGGCAAACTCCTTAAGGAACTTGAGTAATGATTTGGTTGTGGGGGTGGCTGCAAAGGATGGAGGGAAGGCAGCGTGTTGAGAGGATGCTTCCTTACAAATGAGCTGCTAATGCATTTCTTTGAAGTGCTTTATTAATGTGCTTCATTTGATTTCAGTTGAGGAGGTAAGTTTTTGTTGTTTCACACTTAGATTTAATTTTTTATATTGGAGTATGCTTTGTTTTGGAAACTTGACATTATATTAGTCACTTTTACAATAAATGTAGCAGTTTTTGTGTATGCATAATCATAAGCATGTTTTAATCAGTACTGTGATGTGCTATATGAGCTTTGTATTTATCACTTATGCATTTCAAACTTTGAGGTTAAAATCAGTGTTTTCTCAGGTTTCAGCCAAGGAAATCATGGTACATGTAGGTGGAATAACTTGCCTTTGGTGACTAGAAGGTTAATGATGGAGTCAGGGTTGGATAATGGGTCTTGCAGATCCCAGGCCAATACTTTATCCAGCAGAAGAACCTGTTTGTTTTATCCTTAAAAATTCTGAATTCTGCCATTTTAATAAGAATAAATACTAAACTTTTATCTGAAAGAAAATGAACAAGAAAACTCTCAAAGGACAAACTTCAAAATAGTGATTTTGGGGCTGATAAACTTGAGATATATTAGGATGAATAAGAATTAATATAAATTCTTGAAGTGTGGACTGCACAGGGAAGTCACTCAGCATGGAAGATCCAGTTGATGTGAAGCCTCCAAAGGAGAGGGAAGGCTGCGCCAGCAGAAAAAGAGAGCAGAGAGGCCACTGGAAAGTGGTGATTCTAGGAGTGGGAGTCTGTTAAGTGAAGAGCTTGTTATTTTTACCTGTATCACTATGAGCAGCGTTTTCTTCCCCATCTCCTTCTCTACAGGCTTGGCTGGCAACAACATCCTGAGCAGAGAGACTGTCAGGGGAGGGTAGCTCTGTGCTTTCTGCAGAAAAACAGAGTCCACACTCGTTTCCCTTCATTGTTCAAACTGAATTTTTTAGGTTTTTTTTTTAGTAGAACTTCTCAGTGAAATCTAGTTTGTTTTATATTAACTATGTATTTGCCAATTGCTTCATTTTCCCCATCTAATGCCAAGGTTTCCTTTTTTTCCTTCTACAGTTCTTTAACAAACGAAAAACCTATTTTGCCCATGATCCCTTGCAGCAGTGTGTTGTTGGAGACATTGTTCTGCTGAAAGCTCTGCCTGAGCGAAGGAGCAAACACGTGAAACACGAACTGGCTGAAATTGTTTTCAAGGTTGGGAAAGTCATAGATCCAATAACAGGGAAGCCCTGTGCAGGAACCAGATTCCTTGAAAATCTGTCCGATTCAGAAAATCTGACAGAGGCAGATACTACCTATCTAAGTGAAAAACTCCAGGAACTTAAAGTTTGTTCAACAGAAAAATAGTTTGGGTAATATTTGAACTGAGTGCTTTCAGCTTTGTCTTTGTCAGGGCTGTTTGGAGCCTTGCTGTTGTATGTTCAATGTTTTTGTGAAATTTGTAGTCAAATAGTAAACATATAAGAACAGATGTTACAGATTGATAAGCACCTCAAATCTTTAAATGAAAATACAGAGAAAATGTGAGTTTAGTGTTAACACTTCATTTTGTTGCATGTAGTTTTGCTCCAAGCCTTGAAAGCCAGCTGCTCACTTGGAATGACTCTTCTGTACTGAGAAAGACAAGAATACAACTGTGCAACACTTAAGTTTGGTGGGAGAGCCACTATGTTGATTGGTTTGTATTTCAGACAGTCTTTGGTGGCTTGTAGGAATACTTGAGATAAAGCTATTAAACCTTTTGAAAGGAAGTGTAGAATTTTAAATCCAGCTTACCTGCATGTGTCCTTATTTCCTCTTGCAGTCATGGCATCATTGCAGTATCTCCTCACTAGCAAAATCTCCACCAAGCACAGCCACTTGCCTCTCTAATGGCAGTAAGGTGAGAATAAAAACACCTTAGCATGGTTGCTTTTAACCTGTCCAAAGGAAACAGTTCTGGGAGAGATGGATCTCTCTGAACTGCCAGCAGGAAGTAGAAATGGATGAGACTACAGAGCCAAAAAAAGGAGAAATAAAGATGGTTAGATATAGCCTCATAGAAAAGCTAATGAAAACATGTTTGGGGAGAGATACAGGTACTGATCTGCTGCATACTTCACTATGAAACTGGAAGGCCCTAGCAGTTAATGCTTAAAGATTGCTTTATCCTGCTATGGTATGGCTCTGGGATCTTGTGTCCTGGCTTCAGAACACAAAGCAAACTCAGAGTGTGCAGCTGTTACAGCAGCCTTGTGCTGCTGATTCCTCATTTGGATCTGAAAGGACATCAGCCTCAAACCCTGGCATTTGTGGGGACAGCATTCCACCTCCCTGTGTGGAGGTGACAGTGGTATATTAGAGCTATGGGAAATCCTTTTTGAAGGGTTTTTGACTACCTATGTCACTGGTTTCTGTTTAACATCAGAGGTTAAAGCATGTCTATCTGAACAGAGTTCCTCTGACCTAAAATATCTTTTTTAAGAAACAGCCAGCTTACTCTGGTATAAGCTGTGGTCTCTTCTGTTGTCTGTAGTGTGAGTCATTTGCCCTTTATCTTCCTTCATCTGCACAAAATCAGGCTCAACTGCCTGCAAACTGCTAACAACTCAAGTGGACTCAACAAAGTATTTGACCCAGGAGGAATGAGGAACTTAAATTTTCTGTGGTGTTTCAAACAAACAAAAAAAACCCAAACCTGCTTTTTGGATGCTAGTCCTCAAGCACTTCTGCATGTCAGATCAGAACAGTGGGATGCCAGGACACCTTGATTCAAGGGTCTCTGTGTAAATCAGTAATATGAGGAAGTCAGAACACAGGGCTGTAGGTTATTCTTGCTGGTACATCTGTTGCAGTGGTTTAGGTTTATGTAAATTACATAGTAACTGTAGCTGGCTAATTAAGGCCCTCATGGAAGTGAAAGGGTATCTGGGCTCTGACTCCTGCCTGAATGGATGTAAATGTGAAACCTCATCCCTAGCAGAGATTGAGAGAAATAAAATCCAGGCTAGAAGGTGGCCCTGGCCTTTAGTAAATACACTTTGGTTGTACCTGAGAAGACAGTGAGGGAGCTGGACCCTCCTGAGGTGGGATACATGTATTCTGAAAACCAGGCAAACAATGTTTATAAGAAATAGAAAAAAAAAAAAAAAAATCCCATTTTGTCAATGAGTTGCATCAACACCTAATTGAGGTAGTAAATCTTCTTTCCCTGTATTTCCTGTGGCATTTCCTGAGAGGATGTGAAAATGTATTTTTTCTAAGAATGATTCATCACAGAAGATTTTTGTCACTTTTTTCAGTTTACAGGTAGAGTCTGGGAGGGGTGCTCAGGAACTCAACTGATCCTAGGGTGATGTGTAACTCATTTTTAAAAGAAGGATGGCACTGGTGTTTAAAGATGCACCACAAACCTTGGGCTTCAGTGAGGTTAAAGCACATTATGTGTGCTGGTTGCTGACTTTGACAGAGTGCTGACATAAAAGTAATAAAAACGGCAACAGAGATGGCAGAGAAACGACAGAAACTTTGCATGTGGAAAGATGAGATTGGCTCGTTCATTGGTTTTCTATGTTTATTGGCAAGTTGCTTTTAGATGTGCCTTTAACTGCTAGCCTCATTGGAATTTTATTCTCAATCGGCAGTTATTTAGGGGTTTGGTGCCAGAGCCGGCCAGCAGGTCACCCCGCTGGTGCTGTCACTGGAGCGGAGGGGAGAAGACACCTCAGCGCGGCTGCGCTCCTGGGGGCGAAAAGTTCATTTGGGGAACAAGAACGAAGTTCTGGCACTCGGTTCAAAGCCCGCCCGGGCTCTCTGGGAGGGCCC